GCTCAGAATTGAGAGAAAGTCACTGCACGCTATGGCGGGTCAGAGGAAAGGCACCAAACCCAGGCAATCAGAGAGAGCAGGGGAAGATTTCAGAGGAAGATACACCTGAAGATACTGAACCTGAACAACTGAGACCTGAACAGGGACTGCAAGTTAGCTCAACTTTTAGGAAGAGGGCAATCCATTTTTTAAAAGGCACAGACAAAGACCTAGATTTGAGAAAGAGCCCATCAAAAGACAGGCAAAAAAATTCATGCAGCTATGCCTCGTGTTAACTATCCCTGAGAATCAGAACAAAAGTCAGATTGGTATATGTATGTGTGCACCTATGTCTGTTTATATGAGGGAAGATACTTTAGTTTTAAAAAGTTTAATTAGATATAATTAAAAATCAAATTCATCAACCTCTAAAATCCTTGATATTTGGTCAAAAGCTCTCTGTATGACTAAACATTTCCATTAACTTTCTCAGTATTATCATTATTCCTCAAGCTAACTTTCAACTTTTTGTATCTTTTTTTATTTTCTGTTTTAACTGTTGACATTTTGATAGTATTTTTTGAATAGTTCCACTGCAGACAACAGTATGGTTAAGGAAAGAGATTTGAACTTAACAACCTTTCATGAAATTATTACATATAGAAAAACCACTGCAAGTTCTAAACACTCACCTTAGAAATGAATATTTAGAAAATTTCTTGTTTCTAAATTGAGGTTTTGGGTGTACAAGGGACAACTGTCAACAGAATGAGATAGAAGGTATACTGGCCGTGGAGTCCAAATGTCTACGTCCTTAATTCATCATTTGTTGAATGAGATACATAATAATCTGCTCTATAGTCTTTGTAGGTATTCCCAACACTGAAAAAGAAACTATATGTGAAATGAATCACCTAACAGATGGTAGATGGTTGTATTTAGTTGTAACACAAGATCATTTGCTATTGTAGTTATTTTTACATTACAAAATAAAAATTTTATAACCTCTCCAACAACTACAACAACATTATATATGGAAAAATATGTACAGCAATTTAGGTTAGTAAAAATAAAGCTGTACTTTTAAAATATACAGTTTTAAATAGGTTTTCTCTATGTTGGTAGCACAAATACAGCAAGTGTGTTCACATAGAAATGGTTGTTCCCCTCGTTAGCATGAAGATAATACACATTGTAACCATTTTGTTTCATAGAATGATTGAAGATAGTGGGAAAAGAGGAAATACCATGGCAGAAAGAAGACAGCTGTTTGCAGAGATGAGTAAGTATGGAACTTTTAAGGAACATCCTATAGTCTCCATTGAATACTCATGGAAAGACTAGAAATGACCTCTTCATCTTTATGACGTTTGTGCTTTGCCTTAAAACCTAAGCTCTTTGCATAAAGTGTACGTTTGGCCACGTTTGTCTCCTACTGTGTAAAAGTTAACTTAGTCAGTGACACATCATAATTTGTTACTAGACTGCATATCTTACATGAAAGAAAAAGTTTATGGACCTATATATGTATATTCACGCACACACACACGCACACACACACACACACGATACTTGGTAAATACAATGTAGTGTTGACGTTAATACAGTCCACTGCACTTTAAAGTCTGTGTTAATCCCCATGCACTATCACAGTGGCTGGCGTATTGTAAACACTAGGTAATATTTGTGAAATGAAACATTGAATATCTTCCCTGCAAAATGATATGGTATGTTCGTATGGCAATGGGGAGTTAGGTGTGATTTCTGGACTCAACTGTAAGGTGTCATTTGGACCTCATCTGTCCTACAACTCAGTTTTTTAAAAATACTAAGGAAAAGAAAAGATTAAAGGAGCTCAGAGGTGACCTGCTACACAAGGTAAACCAAACTAAGATTATATTTACTGACTCCAGGGGATAATCCATTAAATAAAGGCTATTGGTTGATGTGAGTGTATGGTTGTTGTTTAAGTAATTGATTAGTTAGTAGTGTCTCCCTTACAGACCATCTTTCTTATTCGTAAAGAAGAATTTGACATTGGTGGGAAAATACACATCTCAAATTAAATGTTATTAAGAAAAAGTACGATTCTCTTGTTGTCTTTTTATCTCTCCTTCCTGCATAAGGAATGAGGACGAGCAGGAGAGAGTGGTAAGCCTTTTTCCCTGAGAAGGCAGTAGACAAAATTAGGTTTCTACTAAAAATTGGAAGTGATTGGCAAGAATGAGGGTCAGAGCAGATAAAGGAGAGTCCCAGATAATAAGATTCATATTTTCCTTTATCATTGCCCAATAATCTAGCAGCACCAAGGCAGTATTAGAACTAACAAAGAGGAAAGAAAATTAAAATTGCTGTAGGGAATCTCAATC